TGAACACGTTTGTCTCAGATAGACTCCGTCAGAAAACCACCGCACTTTCGGAAAGCATTAGACGACGGTTTCGTCCTATTGAAACGGGTCAATAGCACGCACCGTTTTTAAACATTACCTCAACCCTGACTACTTATTAGGCATAAATATTTTCCTGCGTAAAGTTTGCACTCTCACGGTCCTTCAAAATGTCTGGTGGGTACTTGAGGGTGTCAAGCTGTTAGATAGACGATCAAGAAGTCAAACTGATCGAATGAAAACGCTAGAAAATATCTTTACCAGTCTACAGGATTGCGCAATGTTCACTTGCATTATTTAGAGTGACTACCGCATCACCGTGGATGCAGATTCGGCTTTGCAGTGCGACTCAGCAATCGTATAAGAGAGATAAGACAATATAGTTTCCAGGGTGACGTGCTTCTTGTCTCCACCAGGTCAGGGTTACTTCCGTGATTTTAAACAAGCTAGTTAGAAAGTTAAAAGGCAGCGTTAGCGAACGTATGTTTTCAGTAATTCTTCTTCAGGCTAGTACAATTTTATACCAATCTCGATAACGGGAGGTTACAGCGCCAAACATATAGAAAGGGCAAGTGGAATGCCAGTACATCAACTTCCACTGCTTCGTGCTACTGAAGTTGGAACGGAAGTTAATTCCTAACCTAGTCAGCCGAGCGAAAAGAAGCTGCTCGAATGATACACTTTCAAATGAACTAGGGCGCATACGCGCTATGTTGTGGGACAATGGTTATCCCGATTGCTTCATAAAAGTCCACCTGGAGCAGAAGAAAAACACAACAATAGTTTTAACGGTCCAGAAAAGTTTGGACTGAGGGGAATCTTCCAAACTCATGGGGAGAATCGATCATTGTTCCGATTCACAAGCAGGGCTCCCGCGACGATTTCTGTAACTACTGCGGAATCTCCTTGGTCTTTGTCGTATCCAAACTATTCGTATCTGTCCGACTTCGCAGGCGGAACGGGAATCTCGAATTATGGAAGAGCAGGCTGGTTTGCGCCCAGGACGTGGCTGTACAGACCATATATTCACTTTGCGGCAGGTGTTAGAGCAGCGCCACGCATACCGCAGACCGACAATAACTGTGTTCCTCGATTTCAAGAGTGCGTTCGATTCAGTCGATTGATCGATTCTGTTCGAAATACTTGCGCGGAAATGTGTTCCCACGATATATGTGAACATCCTTCGTGCCCTATACTCGAACACTACAGACCGCGTCAGGGTCTACGGTGTCCTATCTGATAGCTTTCCGACCACAAGTGGCGTTCGTCAGAGTTGTCCGATTTCCCCTTTTTTTCAATTTCGTCGTGGATTCTATCATGGAGTGTTCCCATGCGGAATCTCATGCTGTGGGCGTTGAAGTGCTGCTTGGTGAAAGGTTAGTTTATCTAGATTATGCGGACGATATCGTCTTGCTTTTCGACGATGTTGCGGCGGCCCAACGAACTATGAATAGCCTGTCTAGAGTGGTCCCATTATTTGGTATGCACTTCGCACCTTCAAAGTGCAAAGTGTTGCTGCAGGACCACCAGCCACTTGATGACACATTGACCTTCGCTATCGAGGAACTCGAGGTGGTTGATCATTTCACTTATGGTGGCAGCTGCATCAGCAATGATGGGCGCATAGAAATTGGCGTCAGTTCACGCATTGCAAAAGCCAGAGCTACTTTCTTGAACCTGCGGCATCTTTGGCTACAGAAGGGAGTTTCCCTTCGCCTGAAAGGCCATGTATATAAGGCCACAATGAGGGCCGTTCTGCAATATGGTGGTGAAACTTGACCCCCTTTGGTCTGAAGATCTGAAACGTCTTCAAGTCTTTGATCATCGTTGTCTGCGCAGCATTGCTGGAGTCGGATGGCACCAGCGTGTCCGTAACGATGATGTTCGTAGGTGAGTACTAGGTGGTGATAATCATGCTACCTCCCTAGAACAACAGATAGGACTGAATAAGTTGCGCTGGCTCAGGCACATGCTACGTATGCCTGGTCACCGCTTACCTAGGAGGGCCTTGTTTAGTCTGCCATGTGTAGGGTGGCGCAAGGCTCAAGGTGGACAGAAGTTGACTTGGCAGCGGAAAACGAAGACACTGACGACCAAACTGGGTACCGTTGGTCCGTCTCGCCTTCCGGGCTGGAGTCCACGTGTCTCGCCTTGTGCTTGGCTCGAGACTTTACAGGACATGGCTCGCAGTAGACACCAGTGGCGCGTCTGCTGCCGTCTCCTAATTGGATTGTCTGTTTAAAGTGTGTTTGGTGCTGAGTTACCTGCGGGGTGATGGCTGGTTACGACGCGTGGCAGTGAAATCCGCAAGGAAGCTGTCTTGCCGATACCGCCTTGTCTTTGCACGATAGCCAGTTGTTTGTGACGGTATTTTGTCTACACAAGGTGTAGGCGCCTTGACCCTGAATGTTTGCTTAGGGCATTAAGGTTTTCGGGTAAGTCCCCCTTCTCTCCCTCTTCTTATTCTTTATTTCATAGGTCCTCATGGTTGTATGGCTTCGAAGCATCAGTTCAAATGGCTGATGTACTGCTGTTGATAATGATGATGATACTTCGCAGGCTTTCAATGACTAAATAGGAGTATTCCCGAGAAAAACAAGCCGACTGCATCGATCAATTCTTCAGACTCCACCAACTCCTCGAACACCGTCATATCCACGGCGGCCAAATGTCGTGGTGTTTTGTGACATCCGAGCGGTTTTCGATTCAGTGGATAGATCTGCTTTGTGGAACTGTTTACTGAAGAAAGGTGTGCCCGACAAGTTTTAAACATCCTGAAAGGACTTTACAACCACACGTCGGGAAAAGTCAGGGCTTACAGCACACTTTTTTCATTTGCTGTGCCCAGCGGTGTTCGCCAAGTTTGCCTTAGTTCACCTTTCCTCTTCAATTTTGCCATCGAAGATGTCGTCCAAGGAGAACTGGAAGGTGTCCAGAACTGCAGTGTTGGGCTGCTCCCTGGAGACAGTGTCACCGACTTGGACTACGCTGATGATATCGTCTTACTGGCGGAGGACGCACAATCCCTCCAGAGCGCTTTGGACCGCTTAGCGATGGAGGCGTCTTAGTAAGGCTTATACATCACTCTGGGAAAGTGTAAAATGCTGCTCCAGGATTAGCAGTTGCCTGAACCCGCGCTTACCATTATTAGACATGTTCTGGAGCAAGTCCCTTGCTTTACTTAGGTAGGGAGTTGCATCACGGCTGGTGGCGGTGTTGGGGATGAAGACTCACAACGGATTGCAAAGGTCCGCCTTGGATTCATCAAGCTGAGACACCTATGGCGTCCTCGTGATGTCAGTCTCAAGCACAAAGGACGCGTGTACAATGCGTCCGTCCGTGCATTACTGTTGTATAGCTGTGAGATTTAGCCTATTCGCTCGGAAGACTTGAACCGGTTGTCAGTTTTTAACAATCGCAGGTTACGAAGGATTGCTCGGTTGTAATGGCAACACTACGTAAGAAATCCAGAGATCCGAGACCGAGTGCTTGGAGCGAGTAGTACCAGTCTTCAGAACGTTAATCTCCAACACCGCATGCGATGGTTCGGTCACGTATTACGCATGCCGGCCTATCGCCTTCTCCGCCGAGCTTTATTTGTGCTCCCCGGAAGCGACTGGAAATAGTGCCACGGTGGACAACCAATGACGTGGAGAAAAAGCATCAGGAATGCGACCTCAAGCTTAATATCCATCGGACGGATCCACCTTCTAGGATGAGGACCACATGATTTGGACTACCAATGGTTAGAAATATTGGAGACTATGGCATGCAACCGGCATCAGTGGAGATAGTGCTGTTAGCAGTGCTATCTATTAGTTAATGTCTCATGAATCATAAAACTCCAAAACACAAAAGTTCCCAAAGCGGCGTGTGTGAAGCCGAAAATAGGTCGTTTACTTCCTGTTGTACTTCGTTTTCCCCTTTAGTTCACCATGGTTCTGATAGCACCTTATCCGTCATCAGATCGTGAATATATATATAAATCTATCTTTATAACGACTAGCCGAAAAGCAATCTTCCTGCAACTTCCGTACAAAGGGGAAGTCGTGGCGGAAGTTCTTAACCGTCGTCTATCGCAGCAGCTTAAACGTACCCACGCAGCAGCAAAGCTACAGGCAAGCTTCATCAGCACATCGACGAGGAGGCTCAGGCTCAAGGATAGTAAACCTGGCCACGAGAATTCCATGTGTATCTATTTATTCACCTGTTCTCCTGGAGCAGGATACATTGGTCTTACGACTAGGTGTTTATCCGGGAAAGTGAAAGAGCACCGTCCGGCAAGGCTAACTACTGGAAACAGAAGAGTATGCGACTACTCCATAGCTGCTCACCTCACCGACGCGGATCACAACCTCAAAGCAGGCCACGCATTGAAAAGTATCTACACGGCCCCGGATAATCGATGGAGGTATGTGGCAAACCTATATTAGATACCGCTGAGGTCATCTCAATTCGGCTGCATGAACCGAGTTTTTGCATTCAGAAGCGATACATTCAGACCTTACGGTTACCCTGGGCCAGATCTGCTTGTGACCGTTACTCAGTTGGATCGCATGCAGGCCCAGACATTGAACTGATCAATAACCATGGTTGACCTCTTCTAAACAATGGTTTTACGCTCTTTTTAACGACCTCAATAGTATGTTTGATGGAGTTGATTGGTCGACAATTGTACTAACCTGAAGAAGAACTATCGAAAACAGTGTTCAGTAACACCGCCTTTTGACCTTCCTGATTACCACAGAACGGCTAATGAATACACACGACCAGTTCAGTTGTTCGTACAAGGGTAATTATCATCTGTTAACTCCACGTGTTGTGACATATCCGAGGTGATGTCCATTAGTGCATAAAGTGGGTGAGAAATGCACAGATAAAACTGCATTGTACTCCACCGGTCAAGTTGGCATGGTCTAAAGTTTAGCAGTTATGTAAACAAGGAAATCAAACAAAAACAAATAAGCACCGAAGTAGCTTACCAAGCGCCTGCGATTTGCATGATCCACCATATCCAAAAGGGGATAGGCGGCTTTTACGTCTTCAATGGATACCGCATTCATGAACCCGAGTCTGAGGAAGCCAAGTAGAAATGCATTGTTGGCACTTCAAGCTGACTTATTCCATTTAACCATAAACACGAATTGATACTCTAGCATTCAATGGACTTGCAAGGCGAGGCATAGTAACGTTGCTGGAAGTCGAAAATGTACCCTGCAACCGGTTTTGCCCTCGATTAGATTCATCAGGTAATTGTCACCGGGAAATGGGTCTTGGACAGACTAGGTTAGTAACAAATGCATGCGATATAAGAGTATTGGCGTCTGAGAGTAGAGCCTTGGGCACCGGCGACTGTTACACGGATTACCATAGCTGATCTTTGGTGCTTGTATTTCTGAGAACATCCCAATTCTGTTCTCGTTCCAGCCCATAGTGTTCAAAAAATCAGTAGTATATGGTGGCATCAAACCAGTGAGTTTACAAGACCCACAGGAGGGAATCTGCAAAAATAAGTGGCAAAATGTTGCGGCATAAATTCGGGGCCATCACTAATCCAGCTATGGTACTTTCTCATATTGCTGTGTAGCACCCAAATGAATTCCTAACGGTCTCCCGGATGTCACAATGTATGGGGTATTCACATGTGAACAGATTTTAAGAGAGCAATAGGAGTCTCTACAGTCCAAATAGGTGTTGGAAGACTAGTTTCGGGTCGCGGCCTCGGCATAGGGGGTAAGGTGCTAGGCAGGCAGCAATCAGCAGTAGGGCGTTACATAGTACCGACGCTTCGCTGCCGCGCATCCACCATCGGTCGCAGGTGGGCTAAGGATACTGCGAACGGGGCCCGGTTCCTACGTAAGCTCGAACCCGCACGATTAGATTAAAGGCAAGCTTGTGATCCTTAGGGATACCGGCCGGCCAAGGAACTATGGCCAGCTGTGAGTCACATGGATGATCACTTTGTCAGTATCCAGTATTTGAGAATGCGATTCAGGAAAATTCGTGGTTATGTTGAGGAGGGCGCAGTTCGTAATTGAGACCAGATAATCTCGCGTTCCCTTGATAACTCTTCTTTGTTGCCGCTCCGGGAGACGAATATCTTTTTTTTAAATCTCTGACATCAAGCTTGAACTGTCTACCCAACAAGGGAACGAATATACCAGTTAATCAATGAAGGTACTAGCAATCGTCCAAAAGATCCAAGGACAAGACACTCACTCATATCATGAATTGACCACTGTTGCTACTCTGCATCGCATGTTTTATATGGACAGTGTTCGGGTACTGTCAACAGCCTAAGTGGCATCAGTTACCGAATTAGATTAAGGGCAGGATTACCCAACTCCTGTCTCTAACTACAGCGTTCAGGTGTCGTGGTTTCAGACGAGTAAGATGAAGGTTGTGTGAAGTATCACGTGCAGTCGTAGCACATGGCTTGAGAGCACTTGAAATTACCACTTATCAACTTACTGTTTAATGGTGTTCATCACTTGAAGTAGCCAATGGGCGGATTTAAGATAACTTAATGTCTTTCTGGTAGTAACCGCATTCCGCAGTCTGCATGTGTAGTTTGAGGGGGTCTGGAACAGTACAGTGCTTTGGCTGGACGTACTGTTAGCAACACGTATCGCACATCACTAGCAGCATAACACTCTGGTTACTTCCTTGCCTTGTGCTGAAATGTGTGTGTGTTGTACACCGTCAGGGTTAGTTTGGTACATTTGAAGATTATGGTTTCATGGGCTTATGTGTGGTCAAAACGTACGACCAGCTGACAGTTTATCGAACGGAGAACCCGTTAACAATACCTTGAAATGCATAATTCAGTTAGCAGGCTAACACGTTACAACTGTTCAGCGCTAAAAGCAAGAGTATGTCTGGCACAGAATTTCATCAATACCAATTGTCAGTTTAGACAAAAGTGCAGGAGCAGCACGCCCCCAGTTTACAATCAAGGTGACCTGAGAAAAAGGAGACATATAAGTTGGACTTCTGCGTGTCAGACAGGGTTAACCATCATAACAGCTTATAACCGAGGTCATGTAGTCAAAACTCACCTGTCAACACCTGAGGACCCAGACACGCATACCAAATAATGGTAACAACAGTAACTACTGCAAGGTCCGCATGTACATCTTGTACTAAAACATTAGAAATACGAGGCCAACAGCTTGAACAGGTCGTCCAGAGTCCCAGAGCACAAGGTCATTTTGTCGCTAAGACCATAAACAGGTGAGTACCATTCATTTAGGTTGTCTGATAGAAACTTAACATCCGTTTGACTGTTAGATATCCAAGAACTTGTTAACTGTCCACTACCAAAGTAAAAAGTACACCAAGCGCAGGCTCACAGACCTTTCATAGTGTAGTCAGTGACTCCTGTCCGGCAGAAATTGCCCAGTATGAGTGAATTGAAGCAACTAACCGCGCCGAAGCCTTAGTCAACCCCACACTATGCTATACTTTTCCATAGTAAGGAACATTCGCTTGCTAAGTTTCTACTCTCACACCGAATCATTCAAATGGTAATCAAGATAGGAGACATAAACTTCTTGTTCTGGACCGTACTATAAGTTGGAGTGATCGAGACTCAAGGTTTTCATGCCAGTATAGGTTCTTCTCACCTTGGAATTTCACGTTTAAAAATTTCGGCCAGTTTACTGCCTTGGTGTTAACTTCATTGTGGCAGTACAGTTTTATCGGATTGAGGTATTCAACTATGCGGATAGAAACTTACTCGTGAGCGATCTCCAGCGTGTTCTCTTGTCCAACAAACAGTGCACGTTTTCGATGATATTCCTTGAAAACCGTCAATGGGCTGGGTGCTTGAATAAGTTGATCTGGATCGATCTGCATATGAGAGATAAATGTGAAAGTTGTATAACCAGTAGACGATCAAGTCACTGTGTTTCACCCTCAGACTTTTTACTACGGTTTATACCTGACGTTGTTTTATTAGCTTGACTCAGCAACCGTGATGACTAACATGTTATTGCCCAGAAAAACTAGGTACATAAGTTTTTTGAAAAACGCTGTCAACAAGTGTTATGCTGACTCTAGCGTCGTGCACTTCGCGAAGAAATTGGTAATACGCATCACACCAAAGCAGAATTGCTATTATCGACAGCGGGGTCAGGGTCATGCTCTGCCGACAGGTGTAAGCATATACAGGCGTTCTACACTGAATGGTGCAATGCAACCTGTCTGATTTTATGGTGGCCTTACGTAAGCTATTCCCCAGTTGACGTGATGCATTATTTATACCGACTGTCTGGGTCTCCGATATAAACGGTACTGTCAAAGTTAAACAAAATGACTCGTTACCGTTATCAATACAAGACGCAGATCAGCAGTTGCATTTCGCGCGGGTCCCTGAATGCACTAAAGTCGAACCTAGCTTTTATATCAAACCCAAGATGTCCAGTGACAGATTTCTTGAGCAGTTAGCCAAGACAGAATACAGCGCAATAGCTTGATAGCTTTCAGTCTAACCTCAGGGGGAGCATTAAGTACACCGTGCCCATTCCAGGAGTCGGCTACCAGTATGCACACGGTGCCGATTTACGATTTTGCAGTTCCATAGACCACAGACTATATTTAAGCTGAAATGCATGATTCAATTCTATCGCTACTGGCATTGAACCCGGTTTACCATGTAACGGTCAATAATGAGCGTAGCTGTGGTATCGTACAGAGTAGTTCAGTGATATTTCAAATTTAATTGCGTATCGTCATTTGATCGAACTGATGAATGTTCTGAAAACCTGAAAGCTACCACAGAATAATGGAACCATGAACCTGAGGGATTAATTCTGCTGATGTTAAGCTCAACTGATGATATCGGTCACGACCTACTTTTAGTCAACTTAGTGGGAATAAAAAAGCATTAAGGTAAACTAGGAAGATAATACAACTGGTTGAGTTATGCAGACGGGTAGACCACTTGATTACTCACTCCAAAAAGGGTGTATGTGATGCCGGCGATTAACTAGTATGCTGGAAAATTAGTTGAGAGAACAGCATCAGGCGACCAGCGAAGTGCCAACGGCGGAGTTTCAGGTGACCCACACCCGTCATTGCAGCTCCTCTTATTGGTAAAGGGGCTCGACGTTAAAGTGACCTGTGGTCATCGGTTACGTTATCCGGTGGGCAAAGAATGTCATTTTTGGGTTAAGTTCTGGGTGTATAGAAAATACCTATATCAAGACTTGGTGAAATTTTAGTTATTTATCACGTTTATGGTCATAGATAGCAGGCTTTACTCACAGTCAAGCTCATCGTAGCACTGAACAATCCTAATGAAAACATTTACCGCATTGGCAGCGAGACAAACCGTGCATCTTCGTCAGACCACAGTTTGAAGTACACTTCCATACATGCAGTATCCTTGCAATAAAGTGTCCACGCTTACTGCGATTAAGCGTTAGTTAGGCAACTGTTCAATTAGAGAAGTAGTAAAACTGAATGTGGAATTATGTGACCGCTCACGGCTGCAGAATTCGTTTTGCTATGGTGTTTCAATAAAATTTGTTTTAACGTCGTCGATTTCGTCTTCCGATCGCAGCCATACTCTGACGCTAGCACTCACACTGTCCGTTCCTTTTGTGCACCTGAATAATCCATTAGTTGTTCTGTCTTTATTGGCTTTACTCGTCCGCACGCTTTCCCCACTCTGGCTGGATTTCACATCTGTGCGTCATGCTATATAATGAAGTCGTATCCCTATGTGAAAGAACCCTTGAATCTTTGCTTTTGGTTGTTTCTTGTTCTCATTAATCTTAGTGGGTGGAAACAGTCGCGGGTCCCGACACAACGACTTCACTCCCTAATAGATGGTTCATGACATCCGTGAGTTTTTATGCGGTTGTTTTTCAAAACCATATGATCGTTCACTTCTAAGCTTGCAGTTAGTGTGGCCCAGTGTTTCCATGCACCAAAGATTGAAGTACAGCAGCTTCTGTTCGTAAATCAGGAGGCGTGCGCACTCAGAACTACTTTAACACGGATGAACAGCCTATCACTGAATGTTACCGGTGGTTGGTGGTTTTCTGACGGCGCCTGAGCTTTTTGGAAGATTGGAAAAGTGCACTGATTACGCGGCTCAAGATAACCCCAGATTTACCAAACTGGAACGTCAAACGACATCGTCTTGCGTAGAGTTGCACCATGAATACCCATGTTTCGGCTGTACCCACGGACGCCGCGGATTTTTGGATCAACGTGTGCTGGATACTACTTTTGCCTCAGATTACTGTGTTAGCAGCGTTTTATCTGTGTGAATTGTGCACCATTATTCTTCTTTTGGCGTATTTTCCAAGCGGTGCAAATTTGGGAGCTATTCTTTGGCTTATTCCGGAGATCTCACTGATTTGCCATACTGCCATCTCTGTCCGCTATCTTGGATTTGCTCTAGCTTGTGATGCCGTCTCAAGCTACTTGTGGTTCGTGTTCGAAAGTTGTGGGAAATAAGGCTCATGCACTTCGATGCTTCAGCTGTGATGTTTTGTTCCATATTTCGTGCATTGGCTTATCCGTTGACGTGTTTCGAAAATCGCTCGACATCCGACATCGGTTTTTTTCAAGTTATATGTGATAAATGTCGCGGCACAAGACATCAGAATACGCAGCGACCGCAAACAACTACGGAAAAATCTCTCTTTCAGATAGAAACAAACCGTTCACCACGTGGGATCAAACGCCCTCTTGAAAGTACCTCTGTCACCTCGCCTTCTATTGTCTCTCCGCGATCTGCACCACCACCAGCGTCTTCGACCCCGGCCGAACCCTAGGTTCAATGTTTCCCACCGATGGAAGACTCAGACTCAGAAGCTACGAAATGCCGCTTCACTGATCGGTCCGTGAATTTCTCAAAGCCTGTCTGTGAACTTCTGAACACCGAGGATCCATGGACCACTCAAAAGCGCAAGGGCCCACGTAATCGAGTTCAGACGTCACCTGCTGATAAACAACTACCCAATCAGTTAAGCGCCTCTAGTTCTGCTCCCACAGGTTCATCACTGATTTCGCTGAGGCGTCATAATCTCATGGTCTTCCACGTACCGGAGTCAAAAGATGAAAACCCTCAGATACGTTATGATCACGATGTTGAGTTCCTCCAGGGGCTCATCGATAGACTCTTGGATGTGGGCGAGGACAGTGTGACGATTAAACAAGTAATCCGACTTGGCCAGAAAACTAACCAGTCATGTCGACCTCTGAGGATCACCACTGCAAATCCTAATATGCCGCAGCTCATACTGTCTCGTCCCTCAAGGCTGAAAGGCGTAAAAGTTCACATCCGCCGAGATTTGGAACCCGAGGACAGGGATCGTTTGAAGACTGCGGTCATTGAGCTCAAACGCCGTACAGAGGAAGGTGAGACTGACTTACAAGTTGTAAATTTTCGGGTGATCAAGAAGGGTGTACGAACCCGTATCAACCGGTTGCTCAACCTCCAGGCACGTCCCGCAGTACCTCCCAGGAGCCTAATGAACAAACGTGACGAACTGTGCCGCTTCGCTGTCTCGGAGCGGCCGGACATTTTAGGACTTGCAGAGACATGGCTGAACTCCGACATCATACCCCAAGAAGTCGTGTTGTCAGGATACTCTTGTTTCCGATGTGACCGAAAATCAAAGGCTCACGGTGGTGTTCTGTTGTACATAAAATCGTCACTATCTGGCAAACTTATCAGTACCTATCGGAACGAGGATAGTTTATGCGAGCAATTGTGGTGCACAATCCGTCTCAGGCGCGCAGAACTAATTGTGGGGGTTATCTACCGGAGCCCATTAAACCGTTGCTGCGATTGGATACCACATGTACAGAAGCACATGAGCCGCCCTCAGTTCTTACTGATGGGGGATCTAAATTTACCTAAGATAATTTGGCCAGATGTTCGACTTCTTCCCGGTCATGGCAACGTTGAGGCTCAATTCGCTAAAATGACTATTGAAATTGGGGCAATGCAACATGTCATCCAACCGACGCGCGTAACTCCGTACTCGGCATCTTGTCTGGACCTAATGTTTACGAGCTGCGAGCAGAAGCTAAAAGAGATCAGAGTCATCGAACCTCTGGCGAACAGTGACCACTGCTCTATTGTAGCAAGCTTAGAACTGTCGTTACCATATTACAATCAACAGAAGCCGACATTCAACTATTGGAAGACGGACTTCAACGGACTCGTTCAAGCCGCAAGTCGGACTGATTGGACACTACCACAGGATGCATCACTTGAGGCGTGGTGGTCATTAATAAAGGGGAAGCTTAACTCGCTCTGTACTCGGTTCGTTCCCCTTAAGTATCCAAAAATCGGACCTGTCAAACCGCATTGGTTTGATAGGGAATACAGACAGTTAGCGCGACGACGTCGTAAACTTTGGGATAGATACATCAGCTCGGGTTGTGATGAAGATTACGCGGTGTACAGGAAACAGCGTAACTTATGTAACGCCGCAAAGATCAAGAAACGCCGGCAATTCGAAGAGGAGCTAGCATCTTCGGCCACAACTGCACCCAAGCGAATATTTGCCTACTTGAAACGTCAACTGAAACCTGGAGACGACCTACCGGTCTTAGAGAGCTTAGACGGGAAGACACTCATTTCAAGCGCGGAGCGCGCGGACGCCCTGGCTACGCACTTCCTCACTGTATTTTCCAGTAAACCGGCGGCTGTTCCAGTACCGGCACAGGTTGCGCAAGTCTTGCTCGACAGCCTACAATGTGATGCAGTCGAAGTACATCAGCTACTCGTCAACCTCAATGGTGCAAAGCCCCCCGGGCCAGACGGACTTCACCCACTAATACTCAAGTCCCTATCGCTTATCATCTCACCAGTTGTGACAAAC